CTTTCGTGGAATATTTCCTGTATCACATGCTGAAACGTGTGATAACTGATAGTATCGAATGTCTGTATTTCATCTGCTGTTCTTTTGAAATGAACAAATATATGTATGAACTGAAAAGGAGTGTTTTTCACTTAATGGGTGTTTTTCAAGAGCAAACAGGATTCAAATGTGATCATTAGATGAACTGATTACAATAGAGTTTATTCATAGAACTATTTTGATAGGGATTTGTTGATCATGGTTGTTGTTAGAAACTCACTTTGCCTCAGGAAAGAAATCTTAGAGGAGTTTGGAGTTGGACAAAGGGGTTCAGTGAAAAAACTGATATTAAAAATTCATGTTTTGCCATTTTATTAAGTTTATTGTGACACATTTCTTATGAATCAATTCATAACAAACCTTTTATCTACACCCAAACCAAATTTCATGTTGAAACTCCGCTTAGATATTATGTCAAAATTTGTGAGTTTCCAAACCCCGGGTTCCAAACGCAGCTTTCCTGGGTTCTAGTATGAATATGGTGGTTTATCTCTATATATATTATTATATATTAATTTAAAATATTTAACAAAAATACTCATATTATATTTTTATTTCATTTTTATTAATGTGTTTTAGTTATTTATTTTATGATATCTCTTAATTCTCTCTACAAAAGTGAAGTCAGACAGCTTGGAATGACAGATATACATGTAAAATACAGGGTGACTGGAATCACCTCCCTGATCACCCTGTATTTCTCCCATACATAACAAGTATGTACACAGTAACATACAATAAAAACATCAAAATATTAAACAATTTTCTGAATTAATTTAGAAAAGAAATTGAAAATATGAGGGACATTCAAAGACTTATGAACCATTGATAAGGTAGATAACAAAGATATTACATCTGAGCATCTCCCTCATATTTTTATGTGAAATGAATAATTCCAGTCCAGTGGCATTGCTTCAATCATTTTTAAGTACAAATATGATAACGCAGTTTTGACAGACACGGAAAATAGTTTTCAGAACTTTTTATTCAAAACCCTAACAAATGAAATGAAAAATGAAATAAGAACCATCATTAACACCTTCTCTTTTAGAAAAAGAATTTTGTCAAATCTTTTTTTATTATAATATATCTTATAAATCTATATGGAAAGCAGAATTTCGGGATTGAGCAGCAATTTGGACGGTGCATAACAGTGATATGTTTACATCCTTTACAAGAAGTTCATTGTTATTTTCTCCTCAGAAAAATAATTTTTTATATCAAAATGTAAAAGGCAGGCTTAACATCACATTTTATTAATCAATTTGTATGGGTTACAATGCGATTGATAAGACACTTTGTATGGGATGGATTTCAAAATACTTACAATACTTATAAATACGAATATCTGTTTGCTTATTGTCAGTGTGCAATCCATGCATGTAAAAGATTCATCATGTTAATAAGCCAGGGGTACATTTCTTAAATATGAACTCCTAAATACATTGTTGTAACCATGGCAATGAAGATATATCAAGAAAACATAAACCCATTCCAAGAAATATATTTCACCTGGCAAGCCTTAATTTGACAAAGTTCAAAAATTAGAATATTTTTGCATATTTTTTATATGAGGGCCATTCTCAGTGCATAGATAAAGATGTCAATTAAATGCTTTCCTTGGGAGTATGTCAGTTTAAGTGGCTTACAAAGTCTGCTAACATGCATTGCTTTTTCTCAATGGGCAACCATTTCTGAGTCTCGGTGAAGTAAAATGCCCCTCGAGGTTCAGTTGCATTCATTGGAGTATCTTTACTCATTTGAAGACAAATCATGGCTCCAAAGCAGTTACAGATGAACCGATACCTCACTACATAGAATGCATTTACCAACAATTAAACAGATTCTTTGTAATCACACTAACTATGAACTCCCCTTGCACATTTTAGCCAAATAGGGATGGTATAAGTATGTTGATCACACATACTATATCTAGCATACTATATCAAGCACTGTCCAATACAGAAACTTCATCCACCATGTCCTAGACCTATTGTATGTCATTGTCAGCTATTTGCAAATATGACACTATAGTATTTTCAATATTATAATGTTAACATATATCTAACACTACATTATGTTCAATATTATAATGTTAACATGTACAACACTACAGTATGTTCAATATTATAATGTTAACATATATAACACTACATTATGTTCAATATTATAATGTTAACATATATAACACTACAGTATGTTCAATATTATAATGTTAACATGTACAACACTACAGTATGTTCAATATTATAATGTTAACATGTACACCACTACAGTATGTTCAATATTATAATGTTAACATGTATAACACTACATTATGTTCAATATTATAATGTTAACATATATAACACTACAGTATGTTCAATATTATAATGTTAACATATATAACACTACAGTATGTTCAATATTATAATGTTAACATATATAATACTACAGTATGTTCAATATTATAATGTTAACATATATAACACTACATTATGTTCAATATTATAATGTTAACATATATAACACTACATTATGTTCAATATTATAATGTTAACATATATAACAATAATTCAATGTTTGCTAACTGTTATTTATTATGGAGAAACAGAATTTAACAATTTTAACTGGTCTTTTAGTTCAAAGAATTCTTTTAGAAATGAAATACTTTAAATTGTTCAACTGTACTAATGAAGTAGTATGCGCTGCATAAAAAGTATGTGATATGTGAATGTTTTTCTGTGAAACATCCCTAAGAAATAATAGGGTGAAATTTTAATAAATAAATTGAAATATGGTAACATACAGTTTTTATTGGACAGTCACCTTTCAAGCTGTCAATCTGATTTATCCATATTTGACTAAAATGCCAAGATGGAATATAAGCCATGGGTTAAGCAACATTTTATAACTCTATCGCTTTACAAGTGTATAGGATTTTGGATTTCAGTTGATAAAAGTTGATAAAATTGAATAAATACATACATACATTCATACATACATACAAATAGATATTGTAACTGTTCAACAGCACATTTACATTGAAGCAACTCTACCAAGATAGCGACCGGATGCACTACCTATCAGATAGAAGCTATATTAATACATAGACTGTACAATTTGATTCAACTGTTAAAAACAATAATCTTGCCATTTGGAACTGCCACGATTTTTAATTTTGGCATACATGTCGAAAATCAGATGTGCTCTAAAATGTGGTAATAAGAGGGGGAATACCCCAGAGTTCAAAGATGACCATAATTCCAATGAAAATTTATATAGAGATGACCATCATCACTGATTGGTCAAGTGACATATGAGCTGACGTAAACAAAATTACAGATTCAAAATTTTGTAAAAACGCTTAGAATAATATGATGTATAGTATAATATGATTAATTCTGTCATGTTTACCAATATTATAGCATAAATTAAATTGCATATCAATATATGGAATTCAGAAACTAGAAGTGGAACCGGAAATTTCGACAAATGAAGGTGGTAAGTGAGGGGTAATTTTGAGGTCATCCCAAAGCTCTTGGGTTTTCCCTCCTCTTATATGTGGTTAACTATATAATCTGAAATTTTGACTTGTTTCAAAACGTTTATTCCATTTGTGATTTTACAACTAAGAAAATATTTTGCCTTGGTTATGACATATCAAATAACTGATGATTTTCCCTACTTATTTATCTATATTTTTAAAATTAAAAAAAGATTTACATCTGCGAAATTCAAAGATTTCAATTGGCATTTTGCACGATCCGTCAAATTAAAATAGAGACAAAATTAACCAGAGTACAGTACTTAACAAGCTTGCAATATTTTGAAGGTCTATCAAGTATCCTATAGCCATACATAACTTTTTTATAATGAAAATTGTCTGAAAGACATCATCATATTTTCCAATTGCACATTCTATTCTGAACTGATACAGAAAGCTAAAATTCATTTGGTTTGCTTTTGAGATATCCAAATATTTTCGAAGTTAATAAATAACTTATTTTTAATTGTACAGTGAATATCGAATCGATCGGTGTACAGCAATGATATGCTTTATATTCTATAGAATGATCCTCTACTAAAAAACCTCTTCATGACATCATCATGAAAATGATCACATTGTGTATATAGATAGACATTCTCATGAAAAACAACACATCATCACCAAAATGTTGTTTTTTTATAAAAATCATTTACATCGTTAAATATCGTTTAGTTAACATAATAAAGGAAATGCATCTTTATTTGTAAGTTTAAAAGACAGTCAATATTATTAAAGTGGTTTTGTATACATACATTGTCTTATTTTCCGATCACATTTTATAAGCACAAGATTTGTGAACTGCATGGTGGTACAATAGTACTTGCACAATGTGACATTTGGTACAATAGAACTTGCACAATGTGACAATTGGTACAATAGTATATGTACATTGTGACAATTGGTACAATAGTACATGTACAATTTGACAATAGTACATGTATAATTTGACAATTGGTACAAAATTGCATGTACAATGTTAAAATTGGAACAAAGGTACATGCACAATGTGATAATTGGTACAAAGTGCTTACACAATGTAGCAATTGCTACAATAATACATGTTATATGTCACAACTGGAACAATATTACATGTATAATGTGACAATCAGTATAAAAGTACATGTACAATGTGACTAAAAGTTGGGACCGTAAATATATAATAATATGTATCTACATTATATACATTAGTAGCTTTGAACACATTGTTCATGATTTCAAAGGACCAACCACATGTATTACCACATGACTCATGACCAACCACATGTATTACTAAATGTCTTATTACCAACCACATGTTTCATGACCAACCACATGTATTACCACATGCTTCATGACCAACCACATGTATAACTACAAGTCTCATAACCAGCCACATGTATTACCACATGTTTCATGATCCACCACATATTCAATTGGTCACCATAGATGCTATCACATAATGTGGATCTAAACATCTCCACCATGCTAAATATCCCCACCATGAACAATCTGTAAGCAAAGCTATATGATGATATCTCCCATTTCTGCATACTGACCATAAGATCAGGAACTGCATAAGTCATATATTTGCATACTGCAATGAGCCAATGCACAACTGATGCCTCTTACTCTATCACATACGTGTGATACCATAGATGTGATATCATACATGTGTGTATTCAACACACATGATACCACTGCACATGTATTTTCTACAAATGTGTGTAATTTACACATGTGTGTGTACTCTTCATACATATGATACCTAACTTATTGCATCGATCTTCCAGATTCAGATTTATAAATCAATTCAGACAGCATATTTGGCAAACTCGCTGAAGAAGAATGAACGTTTTCTCCAACAATCCAGTGTGATTGAACACAGACAGAGCAATTGTTCCTGTGTAATATCACTAGTAAGTCTTCCAGAGCCATTAGATTGCGAAAAAATCTTCAGGTATTTTTATAATGTGTCATAAAAACTGCTGCCGTGTAGTATCCTCAATTTGCTGCTTTGTTATGGGGTCCATTTTGTCAGTGTTTATGGGGTCCCATACACATTTATGAGGTTATTCCAATATTCTTTAAACACCATCCTTGTTTTTAGCATTACACATAACTCTTTTGAAAGACTAAGACAACGAAACATATTGGCGTAACTATGAGAAATCATTACAAAATTTATGTCTTAATAATTCCTCCGCCGTTGGACGTTCTTGTTGTTTTTTCCGGAATATAATTCGTAAAAAATCTCTAGCTACATCTGATGTCTCTTTAGGTAGTTCATACTTAGGTGTATCTGTTGTTGCTATTTTAAATATGGCAGCCATAGCCTCAAATTCAATCCAAGGAGGATTTTTTGTTAACATTTCTACTACTGTACAGCCGACACTCCTGTAAAAACAAAGCATTTTGTGAATTTTGAGACAACATCGATTATATATTTGTGAATGTTTCTAAATAGACTTAAGTTAGGGTATATTCTGTTTCATGAGTATTAAGTAAAATACTATCACATGATTTTATTAAAAGTATGACCAACACTGAAGTCAGTTTCATTTCATAAAGCAACTTTATTTCTTATTCATTTCTTGAATGACAATAAATCAATTTAAAAAAATAATAAGTAAGACAATAATAATCTAAGACAGTTAATTACCAGATATCTGCTTTCCTGCCATAACCATCGCCATTGATAACCTCTGGACTCATCCAATAGGGAGTCCCAATTACAGATTTCATGCCAGTAGAGGTCGCTATTGTCTGCAGCCTTTTTGAGGCACCGAAATCTCCTATCTTCACATTTCCTGCAGCATCTCTAAGTATATTGGCACCTAAACATACAGAACAAGTTATCATCTTGGGCTACTATTAAAAGAGTATTCTACATGTAGAAAACCATGCTAATACTAGAATCAGTAGAATATATTTCCCTGAATTATGTATGAACTTTTTAGACTTTGAGGACAGATATGACAAAAAGTTTTATTTTACAAAAAAGAATTGATATATCTGATTCAATTATATAGAAATTATTGAAGAATTAAGATTGCACCTTTTTCATCGAAAGGACTATCCTGAAATTGTCAAAAAAGTGTGACAAGTATCCGAATGCTACTTTTCCCAGTTTAAGCTATATGTAGTTACCTTTTATGTCTCTGTGTACTATAAGTCTATCGTGTAAGTAGGCAAGTCCCTCTAGAACCTGACGTGTGTACTTCCTCGTAACATTCTCTTTACACGCACCATATGTGCGTAACTCATCCTTCACTGAGCCCTAAAATACAACCAATCAAAATTATTCCAATGATTCTCAATTATGTGTAGAATTGAGCAAAACTTTTCATCACATTGAACGAATGGGTCATTTCAATTGCATTTTTAATAAATAGATTTTTCAGAACATTTACTGAAATTTTGGAAAAGTCAAAAAGCATGAGAAATGCCTTCCCATGAATACATAAGATGTCTATTATAAGCTCTCTCCATAAAATACTAATGACTGATCAAGTAAATGAAGGTATTTTGTAATTAAAATCCAATTCTTCGTGATTTTTTCCATTGTTTCTCACCCCAGCCATGTAGTCCATGAAGATACATAGATGTTTTTCATCTTCCTGGCAACCATAATACTGCACTATCCTGTCATGATGAATGTTCTTCAACAGTTGGATCTCACATTCTAATGCTTTGATTTCCTAAATAAAGATACAATTACATGTATGTATACATTTGATTGAAGTTTCTCATGAATGAGTTAAACATTTAGCCTATAAATTCATTTGCTTTCAAAAAGAGTAATGCGTTGCTTAATAGTTTGCAAAAAATATATTCCTAAAACAAAACAAACAAAGAAAGATATTGTGACAATAAACATGTGACAATGATTAATGAAAACCAAACTGTTATAATGGAATTTGATGTAAGAATTAAGACTTATTACCTGAGTATCTCTTTAGATTCTTTTATTCAACAGAGAAGTAATGCATAGTAATAGTAATGCATATATTTTTTACATATATTAATATTAGTATTATATTATTACTTACCTTTGATGTCTCTGATGTGGGTGTACCAAGGGGAACTTGCTTAACTGCCAACTCTCGTCCAGTGTCTCCGTCATAACACACAAACACCTGACCAAATGCTCCGCTACCCAGAATCTTTCCTCGCTTCCAGTTAGTAGGGGCTCTAGGGGCTGCAATAGTACAACAGTTCCCATAATAGTAAATATTTCATCTAAAATAGGCTTCACATGCCCCAGTTTCACTCCAGCAACCATAATTTGAGATTCTGCTATATTTTTACCTCCAAGTAACTTACTTTCATTTTTATATTCAAACGTCCAAAAACACAAATCTTTTGTTATTTTGGCATTATAACTATTAAATTATCTTATAGTAATAGTATATTGTATTGATTCTATTGATATGCATTTTGATGACAATTAACAGGACAAGATGAGACAAAAAATGTTCAAATGTAACCATGTGTTACAGGTCAAATGCAGAAAGCTAACCGCCTCATTGTACATGTACATGCACTTTAATATATCAGTTGCAAATAAATTGGCGACAATAGCACTTTGTCAGCACTTGGTGGTGTGGTGACATAACTAGAGTATTAATAACATTTTTGTAATGTTTCTAAGTAGCACGCGGAACACCAAACACTATAAATACCCCACAAATGGCACTCGAGAGACACAAAATTCTTTGCTTTAAATTGTACCACTGAACATGGCACCAAAGTAAATGAGTGTATCCAGAAACATCTTATCAATATTTTTTTATATGGAGATTAGTCAGTGAGAAAAGAGTGTAAACTAAACATGTGAGTGATTGTTTGTGTCTATAATTAATAAGAAAACTATACATATAAATAACTCTAAAATATAACAACATAACATGTACCATATAACATATTCTATTTAGTTAGTAGATACCATGTTTTGTGCTCCCAAAACCAAAGATGATACAAGTTATAGCTAATCCCACAATGACACAAAACGAAAATAAAAAGCAGATACAAAAAGTACAATTTGCAGTACATTTTTTATTAAGGAGCAACTATTTCATCTAATAATAAATAAAAAAATATCATCTAAGTAAAAGATATCAAATGTAATAAAATAAAATAAGAAGTGCATTATGTAATCAAATAAAAAAAAAATTAAAAAAAAAAAAAATTAGATAATGACAATGCCAAGATGAAGCACATCAAACCCATCAAACTTCTTGTCAAGCATCAGAAAAGAATGACAGCTATCATTTCTCAAAATGACTATCATACAAGACCAAATGCCAAAAATAAGTGTCATGCTTGAGTTTATCTTGTACATGAGATATCAACAAAATCCCACTTTATCTTCTCAAATTATAGAACATGAAATGACACATTTAAAAATGTAAATCATTTTTCAAAATTATATTTGGAGCTTCTTATGATATTTTTACGAAAAAATACTTCAGATTTTGAACTTATTCAGCATAATATTGTGTATTTGCAGGTAAACAAATAGTTCACCATGTGAGCTGATAATGATATCACAATTTCACAAGTTCCAACAACAATATTCGAAATTCTACACAAAAACAATTGCCAAATAGTCATATTTGAAATAGGCTTTCAAGAGCCAAAGTGTATATGATATTAACAATATTGGGCCAACGGTATTCGAGTTATCACCCAGACAGAGGTAAAATCAGATGTTCAGAGGCATTCTCTGTAACTCCACAAATTAGATTCATTGGGAAAATAATAAATGGAATATAAGATGATGTGTGACATCAACCTAACATTTAATGAGGAAACATAAATTTGTTAGTAACACAAAAAATACTTTTGATTGAAACATGGCTCATATTTCACAACCAATCAGGTTGCATGTTTTCATTGATCTGCAAAACTGTACTTCTAATAATGATATGTTTCTACAGAGATAAAAATTTGAATACTTTTGCAAAAATAATCTGAGATTTTTGCCAATTTGTTGATTTTTACCCTTCTGCCATGTTCACTGTTCCATAACTAGTTATTTGACGGAATGTCAATGTAACAAAATGGATGAACTTCCTGGTTACAAGTTTTTTTTTGTTTTCTCGATTTAAACCTACTTATAAGTCAAGTTGCAGATTGTAATTTGGCACAAAGCTACAAAATATGGTCTAGCTTTAATAAATCTCTTCGATTTGGATTTTGTTTTGTAAATGAAGTTGCAATTCATATATTTAATTCCTCGCTTTTGCTACATTGACGAAAGTCTGTTATATTACCAATGTATTTCAACAAAAATGATGGTCTTAATGCATGAATTACAGCTTTATTTAGAAATCAAATTCCAAATCGAGAGCATTTCTTAAAGCTATATCATCTAACTCTGTGCCAAATGATAATCCACAAATTTACTTATAAGTAGGTTTAAATCGATAAAACAAAAAACTCGTATCCAGGAAGTTCATCCATTTTGTTACATTGACGTTCCTTCAAAGTAACTAGTTGTGGAACAGTGATGTTTGAATCACAATCAAGAGTAGAAATTGTAGACCAGGGTGTAATATCAAACTTTTAACATAATCAGTTGATTCAAATGAACTCAACTGTTTATACACTGTTTTCATTATCTATTTCCATTCCATTTCATGAAAGAAACTGTGTGAAAAAATCTAAAGTAAAACAAATAAACTACTACAATCTACCTAACCAACACATTGTAAATGTCATTCCATTTGTGAGACAAAATATGTATTTGCTGCAAATATACATGCCTTTCAAATTGTAATCCAACTTTCCATGCATTACAATTCATAACTCCGGAACCCCATGCTTTACAATATGTGAACCCCAATACTTTGCTTTAAAATATGTAGCCCCCATGTGTTGATTGGGAAGACAAAGCATGCAGTGTGCACCACTTACAGACATAAGAAGGACTGAGTTGTGGATAACCCAAGGCGGCTAAATCTAACTCACTCTCACGTCTCCGTCGACCCTCGGGGGAGTCAAAATCGGGGACTTGACCGCTGCTGCTGCTACTTGTGCTGAGTGATCCCGCACTACCCCGGGATGACCCATACCTATGCTGCAACTCATTCTGATACAACTCATGATTTGTACCACGCACACGAGGGAATGTTTTTCGACCTACAATACAATGCAATACAATTCTACATAGGATGTAACCATTACCATAGGGACTCAAGTCTACCAGTAGAGTGCAAGGAAACTCACAATGCAATTTTTTAGAATTAAATCAAGTGTACAAAGACAGTATGAAAATATAAAAATGATTTCATGCAATTCTATTATCAAAACATATAAAAAGTAATTGAATAAATGTAAACATGTATCAAATCAAAGTTCACAGTTGAACCATACCAAACCAACCACCTTATTATAGGCAGCATACAGGGACAAATATTTGTCTTAAGATTCTTCAATAATGATTTGATCTTAACACCCTCACTGTGACTTGCAGAGAGCATGCACATTCCACTCAATATGTACAATTGTGTGTTAAATATGTAGCAATGTATGGAGAATATGTAGCAATGTATGGAGAATATGTAGCAATATATGTAATGTACTAGAATGTGTAGCAATGTATGTTAAATATGTAGCAATGTATGGAGAATATGTAGCAATATATGTAGCAATGTACTAGAATGTGTACCAATGTATGTTAAATATGTAGCAATGTATGTAGAATATGTAGCAATATATGTAGCAATATATGTAGAATATGTAGCAATGTATGTAGAATATGTAGCAATGTATGTTGAATATGTAGCAATGTTTGTTGAATATGTAGCAATGGATGCAATATGTACAGTAAGTGACATGGGATTCTATCATGTATATGTCATATATACATACATGTACATGTATATAGATATATATTTGAGTAGGTGTCCATATGCAATATATGGAAGTGTCTTTAGAGTGTCTCATTCAAGAAGATTCCTTGCTTGGTGGGTGTATTGTCATGTAGGTGTCAAGAAGATGTTTTGTTGCCAGGTCATGTACATACCTTCTGGTTCCATTTGTTCAGTTGGATTATTAAATCGTCTAGGATAAGTGCCACCTTTTACACGACCATCACCCGCTGAAATAGTAACCGCTTATAAGTAATTGCGCACAAGTTTAGATAGCACGCCACTCAAATGTACATGACTCCACATTGGATATTAATATCTCAAATTTGTAATATGTATTTTCATTAAAAACCAACTTCAATCAATGAGATTTGCTTGAAATTTGAAAGATTACAACAAGCCATGAAAGGTAACGTAATATCTTCAAATTTGCCTCAGTAACAGGAGCTGTCTGAAAAGTATAGCAATTAGAAGGTGACACCGCTTCAATAAGAACATGATAAGGTTATTCACTGCATTGCTTTTTATAACTATAGGGAATTAATCTATAAAAAGATCTACTGTGGTGGTGGATTACAGAATATAGCCTTACACGATGGTTCATCAAACGTGGTGTCAGAGTAAACACTTCGTCTTGAACTAGTTGGTTTTCCCCGCAATGGAAATGTGTCTCCATGGTTAAAGGTATCACCACTGTAAACATAAAAATCTTAATGAGGAAATAAATGAAAAATGGTTATCATTAAAAAATGTAGTTTCAATTATTAGTAATAGGTGGAGCACCTGTATACACATTTGTTATGGTTGATTCATTCATATCTTGATTTCTATTATGACCGTCTTGTACCCAAGAGAAAGCCATGTGCTTTACCGACCCAATGTTAATGTCGGTAAAATTTGACCAATCAACGACTGCCCTGACGCGTTAGCTCATTATTATGCACAGTCAAATCTTGCACAAATTCATCATGAAAATACAAATATTTTATCAGATAAATATCGATCAGAGTTTAATGGATTCATCGATCGGATACCCGGAGGTGAGAAGATTTCAACAAGAAACGTTGAAACGATCGCTGAATTCAAATGATCGAACAGTAGGCTGAGATTCAATCACTGAATCAGATCGACGACTGCATGGCTAGCTCTTCGTGCATTTTCAACGCAATTTCAGTTTTAAATCAACATTGAATCGCATGATTTAATTTATAGTAATGACTGCTTACATTAATTACATAATTAAATAAATTGTAAAAAGAATCACTCGTCAGATCATTGAATTTCAAGTCGTAGACAGTTTGCTTTGTTTATGCAGGTCAACCTGATAGCATTTTGATTGGTCAATCAGCCTGAAGTCACACGTCGTGTCCATGCGATCTTGTCAATCAATAAAATTTCGCGATACCCCCGACAGCGTTAGTATTATGGAAATCTCGAAACCGCTGAATAACTAAAGGATAACATCAGCGGAGATGTATTGGATTGTACAAGGCGGTAATAATTCAAGATCAGATAAGTAAAAAAAATACCTACTTGGGCAAGGCTACAATATAATGTACTTTCACAAATCCATAAACGGTGGTAAAAAATGAAAGGAGTTGTTACACCATGACATTTATAAAGATAACATTTTATAAATTTATCAAATTCTCTGAAAGGATCAAAAATTTTCTATGAACATATGCATATGCTCCATTATAAGGGGATTTGTTAAGTCTGACAAGGTTAAACAACTCTTTTAAGCAACATCTTTTAGAAATCACTGGTATGTTATAAAATGAGAGTCCCGGAATAATATTTTCTTTATTTCAGTAACACTCAACATAAATAAGAGGTCCTTGTAAACTATACTGTTGTAAAATGTGAATGTCTTATTGTGTGTTCTTATTGTATAATATTTTGCATATTGTATAATACTTACGGAGTGCTGTAAAAACTACTGTCTAGGGAGGTCCTACTTCCTGACACTGAACTGTCTGGACTTTCATACTGAAATGATGAAACAATAGTTCATTAAAGTTGCACCTCTATCTCTGGGAAACTTAAGGGAGGGCACAGTAGATAGACCTGACGCAATCCTGCAACTGGCACAAAGATCATTTCTCTTTTTAATTTGACGATTACAATGAATATGAATGAGATATTAACTGAACCAATAGAATTAAAGTGATCATCTTCCCCAGTGATCAATTGGGGAAATATTATTTAAATTCAAAGGAGTAACATTATCCCAAACATTTTGCTATACTGTATCAGAGGCATTTAATAGCTCCAACATTAAAGACATCTATAAGGCACTTTCAAAATGTGGTATAGTAAACATGTTTTGATCACTTATTGCTAGGGAAATATTGTCACGATTCAGATATATTTGTTATTTTAGTTTTTCAATATGCAGTGAAAATGAATGCAAAACGAAACAGAAATGTGTCTTATGCCTTGAATATTAATGATTGAATTAAAATTTGCAGAGTTAGTAAATTTTAATACTGACTTCTAAACTTGTAACAAAAGTTATCTATTCTTAGTCTAGTTCAAATCCCCTTTAAATCTTTTTATTTCAAAATACTAATTCAAATATTTATAACTCCTTAACATTTCTGCCAATGCATTTGAATAACACTCCGATGATGTTTTTGATTACAGAATTTTATACAGGCCATATCCTTTCTTTAACAGTTAGTAAACCTTTTTGAATTTTTTTTATAAATGCTCAATCTGATGTGAGAGTTCAATGGTAGGTTAAGGCTTTCATGATGCATATGAAGTCATGTTTTACTCCTTTAATGCAATAAAAATGTGATAACTTTTGAAATAAATACTTTGAAGCGCTGTCCTTAAAAAATGATAAAATGTCAATTAAATAGGCAGTGACAAGCCAAAGTTTATGACCAAAAATACATTGTATTTTGCATACTATTTTACCTATAAAAGTTGTTTTAAACACAATCATGTCAAATATTTCTCAACTATTCAAAAATAAATTATACATAATAAAACATTATACTCGTTTCAAATGGTAAAAATATGAAAGGATGCAGTATCTACCTTTAAAGTGCTACATAAACTATTTTCTCACACTGTTTGAGACATAAATTATAATTTCATTACACTCAAATACAAATATTATCATTAAATAAAAACAAATTTTAAAATTATGGCAGACTGTCACACACAGTGCCTTGTGGAAGTGCTGCAAATGTATGAAGTTTAACCCATCGAAACTTAGCACTACTAAGGACAGGCCGTAACCTAATTAAACCCTTAATTTCAAACCCTGAGGGGGAAATTTTGACTAGACCCTCTACTGAGCGCAAAGCTTCAGGAAGGTCCCTGTATATAGAAGTGTGGGGGTAACTACAAACAGATCTGCCTGAGACAAGCGATCGATGTTCGTGTGTCGCCAAGACACCCACTTCCATCCATATTCCTTTGGATAATGGATTTATATAGTACTTCAAGTGTATTGGCCAATAATATGGTGTTACCATTTTAGGTAATATTTTTTTGAAGTTAAATAAATTCTAGTTATCAATTGTATATATTTTGGATTGTATCAAAATTATCATATATATGTTAGTTTCACTTTTCCTTGAAAAAAAATCATGATTGACAATTAATATTCATTTTAATCCTATTATAGAAAAGATATACCTCATTTGCATAAATTAGCATTTTCGTCAAGTATTAATCTTTTAGTGTCAAAATAAAATATATCCATCATGTATTGTTGTTATCATTGTTTTTAAGCTAATATAAGTAAAATAAATAATTTATTTGCAAATTAGTATTATAAGTATTATTTTTGTTAACCCTTGCAAAGAATTGATCTCTGAAAATATTTCATCTAACAATTTTACGACAATGTGGAAAGCAAATGCATATTTTCGACTGTTTTAATGTATATATAATGTTTTTAAGTATATATTATTTGAATGTATTTCATTAAAACAGGTATTTTAAACTTTTTTAAATTGTTTCATTTGTCTTTACTATTTTTTTGTCTCTGTGGTTCAAGTAGAATTTTTAATGTTCCAGCAAAATTCCCAAACTCATATTTTGTCAAATATTTAGATTTTACATCCTCTTATCCTTCTCAATTTGTGAAGACTCAATGACTTTAGTGTTTATTTATAAAATTAAATAATACGAATAGCACAAACACATCAACTAAAGAAAAATAAGCCCTTGCAAAGGCATCACCATATTGGAATATTTTGTAAGGGTTACCTCATCATTATGAGCCTCTGGAATAAACTCGCCCTCGCCTGAATGTCTTGAGATCTGACTTTGAAAATGTTTTTCGTGTGGTTGTACAGTGCCTGGGGGTGGTGAGTATCTGCCCTCCGGAACACGAATTAAAGTATTATTGTTCCCTGTTTTTGAGCTACTTTGTGTTTTGTTCTGAAAAACAGAAATTATACATTTTGTTAGCATTTCTAAAATTGTGTTCATATATTATCTTTGTATGCACTGCATATATTATCATTGTCTTTGACATCAAAATTTAATTAATATTAAACAAATCTAAAGAATGAGAAAAAATTATCAAACTCACATCAAATGTCCTTTCTTGGTAACTTCAGGGTTAATTGTTGGGAGTCAAAAGAATTTAATTGCGTTATTAATATGGTACCTTTAAAATAATTCCTCTACAATTCAGACAATTAAAACTTATTAGATCTACCATAGAGCCAGTAACTTACTTGAAATATTTCCCCCAGTTTACCAGGGGGCTGGCTAGCAGGGGATAGACTGTTAGAATTACTGTCAGCTTGGAGTCGTAATCGCAAACTTTTCATATGCTCACTGCGCTCCACCAGTTCAACGGCACTGTCCAAGTCTTGCTGGCTGCTAATTGGAATGACCACCTAGTTGGAAAAATATAGGGTATATTATGTACAATTACACATTTCGTTAAATTGAAACAATAGATCAATTTTAAACTTTGGTTTATTTCTTAAATAAATTGCACATTAAACATCAATTACATTTACAACATATTTTGCTATGGGTCTATTTACTGCATGCAGTTGTCATAAATTCAGACTTTTTGGATCCAATGAATCATTTCAGAATTTTAACAACTGATGGAAGACTAGAGAAGTTTCCTCTCAGCTCCTAACAGGGGTGTTAAGGCTAAATAGGTGTCCATGGAGAGGAATTCACATAAACAGAGAAGACTTGCATTCTGGTCAGCCCCCCCCCCCGATCATCTATTTGGTGACCATATCTTACCTCATTATTTGAAGGTGTATAGAATATTTGAAGGCTCCTGCCATAGTATTGTTTCACTTTCTCACAGAGGTCTGCATACTTTACTGGTTTTCTAATCTGCATTGCTCTACAAATACACACAACAATATACAGTTAGCATTTGCAATTTCATTACAACATATACATGTGCAACAATATTAATTTTGCAGCAGAGCCTCTGGTCCCCATAATACCTTCTCAAATGAGGATCTGTGTATGGATTTATTCAATGTATGGGATAAACAAGGACTAGGAGTAAATCTGTGGTTCACCTTACCAACACATCTTTCTCATTAAGTTGTGTGAATAGACCAGAGCTATGCAACAAGATTATATATTACATTACAGAACTATTTGGACATCATGATTAACAATGACATCTCCTTGACATGCCCAATGTTACAAGAATAAATGAATTAAGAAGGGATTGTTGGGCAACGGAAAAATATGTTTAAGCATGATTTCAGTTTTATAAGCCCATACGATGTTTAATAAGCCAGATAGCTTATTCCTACTTGCCTATCTTAGTAATCATTTCTCCCTCTCCATGTGGTATGAGCATCTAACATTTTTTGGTATTCAAGACAACAGGTAACATCGCGAGAATTTGACGATGACTTACTTGCATAATTTTAGGGGTACTGCCACATTTGCAAGAGAGTAAAAGGGTCACAGTACAATTTCAATTTCAATATGCATATTGGTTTAGATTAGAATGACATTGTTTCAAACACTACCTTTCAAACAAGGTGAAAAATCAATTAAAACATAAGTATCATAGTGTATGTATACTCTTGCCTAATCCTTAGCTACACAGCTTTTTCGAGCATTCTCCAAACTGATTGATGCTCGAGTCAAGAGGTGACATCCTACCTACTAAAATTATTGTGACAATTTCAAAAAACTTACGGCTATCTTAATTCTCTCCCTGATTGAAGTTTTTCTAAAATTACCTTACATATTTTATTATTTTTTACTGTTATTCTCCATACACTCGTATCTACTATCCTACAGTTTATTCCTTTAAGAATTTATAATTTGAGAAATATGACAGGTCCCTGGTCCATATATGGAAGGGTGATATGGCATCTTGATCCTTACTAAGGAGTAGAAACACATCAAACAAACATAGTGAGATCTCTATAATAATTAAGTGGCCACTTGTTCGAATTGAAGATAATCATCACATCAAACAAATGCACGTGTGGTGCTATGTTATTAGCATGAAAAATTCCATTGAATTAATTGGTACTTGGGTTACAGTACTAGATTCTATTACAGTACTAGATTCTGAGTTGTCTACACATCGCTTTATATGTTAGGCTAAGAGAATTAAAATCTCTGTTTAGCATCATTTTTATATGGAGAAAATTTTCCTACTCTGCTCAATATAAGAAAAATAAAACACTTAAAGGAATTACAATTTATAAAATGATAAAGAATGTTCAAGAATCTCATTAATAATATTAATGAAATAGCTACACGTAGGTCACTTAATCAAACTGGTTGGATGATAAACAAATCTCAACATTTCAAAGTACAATCTTTAAAAATTTTATAAAAATGATATTGACAACCTTGATTTCAATTACTGAATTCACACACAACACAAGTTGAAAAAGGTCAAAATAAACAAATCTTAGCTATAATTCTGAAGGATACATTTGACAAATGAAAGGTCTCTTATGAATTTATCTTTGATATTGATTGTTTATTTGAAGTTCAAGATGGTTGGTACTTCAAGTAAATACTTTAATCCTGAATCATCAATTAATTATTGATCAAGCTAAAGTGTAATATTGAAATAGATGTATATGTGCGTACATGTATATGCTATTATGCATTCCAGTTTAACACATGTTCTAGAAAATGCTAGGGCTAGAACACACAAATTCTATGTTTACTACTACCTGAATCATCAATTAATTATTGATCATGTTAAAGTGTAATATTGTAATAGATGTATATGTACGTACATGTATATGCTATTATGCATTCCAGTCTATCACATGTTCTAGAAAATTCTAGGGCTAGAACACACAAATTCTATGTTTACCATTGTGGGATCCACAGCCTTTACTATCCTTTTGGAATAGTCAGAAGTCTCTCAAAAGCATTAGGTAAAGAGGGGCTCTGATAAATCAGAATGTATGTTTACTATTTTTATTTGGAAGACTGGTAAGAGGAAGATAAGATGTGTTTATAATATTTTAACCTATCTTCAATTTTTCTTGGTTATTTTGAATAAAACCTGAGAGATAAAATATGTCATATCATGATTTTAATTTTGGAAGTGTAATAAAAAGATTTGATGAGTATGAGGTTGTGTCGGTAGAATGGATATTTATACTGTTTTATAATAGTTATTTTAAACAAGTTTCACTGTACTATACATTTGTATATATAACATAACTGATGATTTTAGAGATGACCATGTACTTTTAATCAAAAATTTTAAAAAAAAACATTCAAATACGATCTACTTTATTTTGATCTAAAAATGAGCTGCATAAATAGTAAAATCGTGCTGAATGGATATTTGAGAATGAATTGCATTTTATTCATGTACTTAGTCACTTTAAAGCTAAACATTTGTTCACACATAACTATGACGTGAAAGTATTTCACTAGATTGTATTTACGATTAGACTGCATATATACATGTACTTCAAGTCAAATGTTTATTTAGCCAAAAAATTAGCTCTATTCAACATATTAACAAAATATTGTGGGAAAATGTCGAGTAAATGAGATTAGAATATGAATGAAGCAAATCTTATGTTGTATTATATTTATGAGACATTCTGAAACTTCAAAACAAATTTGTCTACTGTATTTTTTTCTTTTGAATTATTATCAAGTCTACTTAGAATAATTTATAGTATATAAATTCGCTGCTTCAACCCATGCTTTATTTACATTATAATTCTGAGTTTCTTAAATTCTATGATATGTCTGAATCGGGTCTGCACACACTGGGATATACAGCTATAGTAAACAGTAATACTATTACTGTTATTTGAGATGAAGACATTTGAAAGCATCACATCTTAGTGAAAGGGCTGCATATAAGAGGTGCATATTCAAATTACAAATGCAAAAAAACACATATTTCATATCTTCGAAAACCAAGGTGTCATGCATTACATGAAAATGCCCATCAGTTCAAGGAAATGATATTAACCAAAAAGTCATTCGGGGTCACAAGGGTGCATACACTTATACATCATATTACAAGAACCCTAGGATTATGATCCTAAGCGTGACCCATTATTTTTTCACAAGGGCTCATATTCAGGTTAATTTTCCAGATAACAGCCAGACAGATGAGTTTTAAGATAAGACCACCATGTTGTCTAATTTATCCTTAAAATGAAGGTTAATAGAGTATAGTACTGGTCTAGATCCTGGTGCAAGTGAACCTCAAACAAAACACAAGGCCAGTCAAGATATTAAACATCTTCAGCATTTTAAAGAAATAAGGACACTTCTAGGGAATCTCTGTACTTATTCAACAAAGAAGGGCTCAATCAAGCTAGGGGTTATTTTGAAGAAATGCCTTTAGAGTATTTTAAACCACTCTGTTTTCTTCCCAGGGATACTATCAGATAGTGACCACTTGACCCTGGCAAAAAATAGCACACAACAGATTGATTGATCTTCTCAATGATCTTCAATGATATTCCTCCTTGAGAGGATCATACCAAGGTCACTATATAAACGCTGCTATATTTTCTACATTTCAATACTTTATCAATGATAAAGTGATAAAAATATACTCTGTTATATTTTTGGATGGGCTTTATTCAAAATACATAAAGTTTTTTTTATGCATCGTATATATCAATTTTAAACATCTAAAAAGCAACCAACTTGAGATGATATATCCTCTATATACTATTAGACTACAGTTGTCCAAACTTTATGAGGCTAATAATTGTAGTAAGTAGACTCGTAAAATCCCGTGCAATTTTCATGATCTTTTTTTAAGTTAATGAGAGATCACAGGACAGACAGTATGCAATCAAATAAGGTAAAGAAAGTACAATAGACTACATCTGAAGGTCCTGCATTTTTGCCAACTTATTTGACGTTGAGATGTATATTTCTTACAATGAACTGCTTCAGTGTGTTTGAAATCTCCTTTGAAGTCTTTGTTTTTAATGTTAATGCCAGTTTCCTTTTGTTTATACTGGGCTAAGTACATCCTTAATCAGAATTTAGCCTTCCAGGTTCACTGTCAACAAACTCAAAACAAAATCATGATAATAAAAAATAAATTTTGAATATTTTATATTGAACTGTCCATTAACTGGACTAGTGAAGTACCCTTTATACTGACAGATAAAGATATTAAATTTAGGTTAACACTTGTTGAATATAAGCACAAAAAGCAAATACTTTTTGAAGGAGGCTAAAAACACTTTACCTGAATGAGATACATGTTTTCAGATATCAACTTACCTTTTTTCACCTTGGAAATCACACTTCACTCTCAGTTCCTGGAAAAATAAAAATAGATTTATTTACATTCTTATTCAACATTCATATTATTTAATAATACATATAGGCAAACGTAAACACAACAAGTGCTGGAAAAAAGTGTTCATAAAAGAATCTAAAAATAAAATCAGAAAAGTGTTTATATTTAGAGGTGTTTACTTTTAAGAGGTGTTCATTTATATAATTGTATTAACATTTCACAACTAAAAAAAAAAAATACCCCCAAGGGTGCTATAAACATGAAGTAAACATTCTTCAGGCAATATTTATAAACAGATAATATTAGTCAGCAATTAAAGATAATTATAAACACGACATATCCAAAGAACTAGCAAATAGAATTCATAGACGTACAATTGTCAGGCGATAAATAAACTTGAGATATCTATAAAACACATTGTATCATATATATGGCTACAGGATGTAGAATAGGTTGATGCCAAGTCACATTGGCAGCAAGCCACTTCCTGTGCGTGCTCTCTAGTATTAATCTTCAACACACTCATACCAAGTTTGAATATCAACTGAACGAGCGTGAAATTAAGGTCTTGCATGCATAAAAATGCAAAATGATCACCCTTTTCATGAGTATCAGTCTGAATCTTAAACTATGCTCTGAGTGCAACTATACTAGCACCAAGGCTTTAGGGTATACACATATACATGTATACAAAAGGTGCAAAAAAGATGGAGATTTGAATTCGATCGATTCTGCATATATATATACTGTATCATCCACATGTGTGCATGAAATAATTTTGAAAAGATCGACATTTAATTATATCTATTGTTTTGCATGTTGCTACTTGATACTTGCAATATGATAACTTAACACAGGTATTCAATATCTACCTATCAGTAATAAAAGACAGATTACAAGTTCTGCATTAGATTGACAAAAGGATGATGAAAAGAATATAAGACATCGTCTTGTCACTTTGTCAACAACCAATTCTAACATCAAAAAATGGACTTGATGGATCTTTAAGACACCTTTTTAGTACTGAATTCTTCAATATAATGATTGTAAGATATTTGAACGAAATGACCTTCATTCATCTCTCAATACATACTTATATGGCAGTCTACCAGGACATCAGAATTAATATCATTGTCTGAGATTATATAGAAAAACACTTAACACTATTGTCTGGCATTAAATATAGAATATAACTTCATTCTCAAGATATTCCAAGTTTTATCAAAATTGATTGCACAAATCACAAGAAATAATAATGTCAATTTTAAATAGGATTATGCGGCCCACTACAATTCATACCCTTTCATTTGCATTGAATTTAATTTACAATAGAATCGAAAAAAATGAAAAATACAAAACAAATCATCATTTTTAGTGAATATAAGATTGAAGTGTAATATAATGTACATGCACAGCATTTCCTTTTTAGCAAGAGGTACACTTTGTGTAAAATACTAACTTGCTGTTATAATCAGGAAGGGAAATCTTCAATTGAACTGACCAAGTCATCTCATTGAGGCACTTCAGATGTCAGACTATTTCCTGATCTCACCGTGATCAATATACTCAAGTTATGTAAAGATGATTCTGATGTATTTAGCCAATTGATTAATAAAACTTAACTATATATGAGTATTGTTATGCGAAAAACCAAGTATCACGTTTAATAAAATTTGAATCTTGAAGCTAAACTGATGGCAATTTGAGAGAAAATGTATCAAAATGTAAAACTTAGTATTGCCATAAAAATACTGGTACATATATCTCTTCAAAATTATTGTCATATTTTATGAAAAAAGGTAAAACTGAAATCTCTCATAGAACCTTGATATAAAATATAATATAGAATGTTCACGCATAATATATTATATTTTTACAAAACAATCAATGACATCCTGTATAGCAGTGCCATTATGTCTGTTCCATTCCAGTTTGTCTAAATGTGCACGTTACAGGTGATATCATTATATATCATGTTATACATGCCAACTAGTGACAGCTAAATGGAATGTCTGTTTCCTCATTAATGCAGTATATGTGTATACGTAATTTGAGATACTTCTACCAGAATCATTAATGTTGTTTCTTTAATGGAAGGATCTACAACTTTGTCGTTTAATAGTCTCTCCATTCCTTGTAGTTTTTTTGCGTAACATTTACATATTAGGGAGTTTAAGCTTGCATATAAAATTGAAATGCTAACCTATACGTATGACCAATCACCCATACAAATGCATAGCTTAAATATTTTCCATTCACGTTTAGGTTGTAAAATCCATTGCAAGCTTAAACTCCCTAATATTAGGTTGAGAATGAGCTACTATAATACACGCAAAAGTATAAACAAAAACTTACATTTGAACTCGATGGTGCCGATTGTTGTTGCTGTTTATTCTTGGTGAACTTGGCACTCTGGCGCATTCCTGTGAGGAGCGCATTCTTGATTGCCGTTAAGTCCTTTTCAACATCAGGGTCCGCTGAAAGACAAAAGAGAAAATCAATAATCAACTCACATTTAGGTCTCCATTTTCCCATCTCGTAATATAATCGTAATTTCTATTACATTAACAAACCATAATGCATGTACCATGCATGTGAGTATCTGATTATTTGTGAAAGTCAACATTGTTGCAAGTTTAACTACTCCAATATCATGGAAGACAATGCATATGACTTATCAAATCATCTATGCTTACTTAAATCCGCTTGTTGAGCCCGAACTGTAAGCCGAACATTTTCTATATATCTCTCAATATCAGAAACACGTGACATCTTGTAAGTAACCTCACAATCCACACCCATTTATCTCTTTTTCAATGTCTTCAACGATATCAACATTTACAAGTTCTGAATTTTTTTCGATTATATGATTCACTTGTTTTCTAATTCAGTGTCTTAATTTGTAAATCGGCAACATATTTTTGATTGTTTTATTTATGACATTTGGTGAAGTCTAGTCTTGTATCAACATCATTCTGAAGGGATGATAATATTTAAGATTTATAATATTTGATCGTATCTCGACACCACCCCCACATTTTGCTTGCAGCTGGTAATGCTTCGCCTACTAATGTTTTAACTTTGTATTTAAATCCTCCATATAGATTTAATAATGTAATTCATATAATACTAATATTCTTTATGTTTTTATATTCTGCAAAAACATCCCTGTTAATATGAAGTATGATTCAACTTTTTTTAGTTCCTTCTTAGAATTCATTCAAATCCAAGAGTTACTGTATGTTGAATGTGCCAAATATCTCACAAAGAATATATCCATATGTAACCAATGATAAAGCAACGATGGTCACATTACATCAATTGTTTTTTTGCCAACATCTAACTAATAACAACATCCAATCTTTATATAGATCATAACAAAGTTTCATAAAATCTTTTTCTGCTTCCTTATATTATGAATATATACCATGCTACAACTTGATATTGTATCTCACGAATGATTTATCCAAATGTAACACATAACAAGGCACTGCTGATTAGGCTACAATCATTTTATTTTCCCATAGATCTTATTATGATGAACATAACTAGCTTCTTTACGAATATATGCCAAACACGTCCAATGTGTTCTTTCTCAAACGAGCCTCTAGTATAGCCTGACTTCAATTTCTCCGACTTCATAAATCTACTAGAGTAGGTTTAGATAAGTGTGTTAATTATTGACTTTCAAATAAAAGCTAAGTAAATAGCACCACTCTCTAGCTGCACTCGAGATGGTATCAAACAGAGCAAATTGTTTATGAAACAACTAATATAAAAATGTATTTTACTGATATGAGCCATAAATATATGAGAAGTACATTTTATTTTAGTACAAATGGGGTCACAGTTAACAAAAGCTTATAATTAATCACTGATCAATCATTGTCAAAAAAACAAAAAAACTTTAACATACATGTATATGTTTTACAGGACAGTATTACGTACTATACCCATGCTCTTACATTTTGGCTATTATAACTAACAATAAATCCAGAAATTAAGTATGAAACAAAGCATTGACATGCAAAATGTCACCACCTACCATTTGTTACAGATGCCAAACACCAATCACTGATTGCTCATAAAAAATTTGTGGTGGTGATATAAAAATGTTTGATAGCAAACCGAACCATCCATGTTTCTTGCATAATTGTTTATCCCACAATTGTATGCATGTAATAACAAAGTCGGACACAATGCACCAAGAACTATAGCAACCAAACTACCCTCTATGCAACCAGATACTGTAACCAGTTGGAGATATGATTCCATCCCAGTTATAAGTTACTTGCAATGAATTTATAAAATTTAAATTAAAAAAAATCAATGAATTTATAAAATTTAAATTAAAAAAAATCAATGAATTTATAAAATTTAAATTTAAAAAAATCAATGCGATTTATAAAATTTAAATTTAAAAAAATCTATTTTAAAAAAATGCATTTTCTTATTTTGAACATTTAATGATGGGAATAATATGAGGTAGTAGTGTCTCCTTATAGCCAAATCGTTGTCAGTAACATAAAACCCTGATGGAAATATTATATTCAAGTCCAAGTCAAAATTGTCACCAAGCTGCCAACAATATCATACCTTTTTTAGGTGAAAAAATATGATACCCTATAATGATAAAAAAATTCTACATCTTCAATGCCCAGAATCAAGTCTGATGAGAAAAGTACATATCCTTATTTATAATAAATAGGACAAATAATTCAAGACAAAAAATATCTGCAATGAAAACTGATCTGTTTGGTAATCTTGACACTCAAACTCAACACTCAATGTTCTTTGATACCCTATAATAGCTCCATATGTACAAGACCAAGGCAATGTTATATCAACAACCAATATGTGTCCGTTTTAGGCCAACCATTCAAAAACCCTATATCCCATACAAAAAATTCAAAATATCAATTTATCACATATTTTGTCCTGCATATCTGTATTTTTTGTCTATAATTGCCCTCATTCACATTGTCCCTTTGTTATCTGAATTGCATTGTAATGATTAGAAGTTTTCATAAAGAATATATATAAGTACATTACCAAACCATTTTTAGATTGAGTATTGTTAAGGTCCTCATCTCAAGTATGAATAAATGTTAAAAACTTGGTTTTATCTGTAGAGACTTCTCAAAAATTCCATCACACCATCAAATATGTTCTTGTCTTCACCTGTCAAGTTTTATATGACACAGTTTTAGGCAAGCTACTTGTACATCATCAATTTTTTCTTTCCCTCTCCCTCGGGTGATGATTGGACCAAATTCATTTTAGTTATCAACTTGGTTCTATCATATTATCTACCAGTATTAATTCATTTAAAAATGAATTCTAAATATCTAACCTGTTGATTTCATTGATTCATATTCATATAAAATGTTAATGATCTGAACCCCTTATTATAAGTATAAGTATAAAACAATGTATGAATAGACCCATCACTTCCCCTTTCCCACTCATTCATAAATCATTGTATTGCCACTTATTTCTCAAAAAGAGGTCTCTGTACAGAGTACAGGCCCCTAGCCAGGTGGCCAAAAGATATTTCAAAATCATGCAGTTTTTCACCATTCTGAGCACTTTTTAAGTGATTTTGGCCATTTTTGGACCAAAATTGTCACAAGTGAACCCCCCTGGAATTTTTCAAAAAGTGAACCTCCCTTGGGAAATCCAGTCTATAGGCCTGGAGTACATATACTCTAAATCAGTAGATACTGTATCTTTTAATTAAGATTACAGTGACTGTAGGGACATTCTGTCCAGTAAGTAGGATAAATTCTCTCCAAAATATCTGATTTTTAATACTGGACATTTTGTAGTAGTGCATGATAAGTGTGGTTCAAATAAAATCTCACAGATGTATTTTATACTTGCCTAAACACATTTGCTTTCATTTAGAGCTATAATGCGACTAATCCATGATTTGACCTATTAATGATTGGTTGATTTATATAAATCCTATGACATTCAATTAAAGTAAATTGTGACACTATAAATTTGGATTAATGTCTGATAAGACATGACAGTGCAAGAGGTAATATATTAGATAATAAGATTATACAAATAGTGACTGCCATTGAGGGCAATAGTGTAAATTATTTCCCCGAGGGAATATCCTCTACAATGTACTATTCCCGAAGCCGCAGGCTGAGGGAATAGTACATTGTAGAGGATATTCCCAAGGGGAAATTATTTACACTATTGCTCGAAATTAGGCAGTCACTATTTGTTTTATTATATACCCTATACTGACTCTTGTCCCGTTTCCTCTGCGAAGGCCAAAAAGGCTTAGAAAGCCCCCTCCCATTGTAAGCATTATAAGCTGTGACGTCATCAGATGCTCAACAGATTTTTTTGCTTCTGAGACTCTCACTTGAAAAATTCAATCGCGTTTAACACGCGGAATAGATTATCATAACACTTGAAATTACACAGACGTATTGAGCTTAGGGAACTTTATACACGTTGCTTATACTGTATCGTTCACGCACGTCTGTCATGGTGAACGGAGTTGATTTGTGTTTGTGCTCATCCTTCATTTTTCTGTTTTTCGTCTGCGCAGTGATGATGCGCAGACGTTTCCAAGAGTAATATAACTTGCAATTGTGACGTCAGCGGGCAATAGTTCAAATGTATATTCCCTCTGACGTCACATTTGAGGGAATATAACTTTCCGAGGGAAATAGTAAATCTATTTCGGAACACGTGACTAGGTATTGACCAATCAGGATTAGTGTTACATATTGGGTATATAATAAAATATAATACTAAGTTGAAATACTTAAGATTTCTCAGAAGTACTGTTGTATATACCATAGATTATGGTACATGTACCTGTGCCATGGTATATGCACCTGTACCATAGATTATAGAATAACTTTACTACATGGTATACCTGCATCATAGATTTTTGTATACCTGATCCCTAATATGGTATCGATAAAAAGATATATATATATATATCTGTAATCTGCATACTAACATTTCTAAAAGCTTATTCCCTGATGAATTTTTCTTACTGTGGGAGAAAACAAATAATTTCATCATATTAATGTTTTCATTATTATACTTTTACATTTTTTCTAATATAGGATTTCAATTGTTAAAAAAGTGCTTCATCTTTTCAAAAGTTTTGTAGTTAGGGTGATAAAGAACATATTGGTTTATCAATTACAAAAATTGCTTATATTTCTGTTACTACTCTCCACTTTCATTACTGATCCAACAGGATCTTTCATATTATAAATTGTAGAGAGGATAGCTCCCCATTGTCAGACCATAGGTTTTAACAGTGACTTGTACCAATTAAATGGAAAGGTGGCATTATCATAGCTGCCGTAAATGTAGCATGCTTTTTTGCATGTTTTCTATGATCTATCCATACTTAACTATAGAATGCTCTTAGATACCATCCCACTTCCTTCTATAAACCTTTACACAAATACCTGTTTAAATAATTTTACAATCACTTTCATTAAAAGTGTTGACCTGCAAAATATCACATGCGGTAATGATACACTTCCTAAATTCTAAGACAAACTTTGTTCAACATAAACCTGTCTAAGTAGGTAGGAGCACATCTTTCCCGATATTGACTTGGGAAATCTTACCCTGCATACTGTTAAATAAACCAGTGTATTTCTTCAGTCGTATAAAATACCTCGATGGATCAAGATTGTTACCCTGCTCAAAAGTTTCACTATATTCTACACTCTTAATAAGACACACTTCTTGGATTTAATCTATCCAATCAGAATATGTATTCAGTAAACCATGACACTGTATTTCTACTTGCAACATTAATTTTATACTCAAACTACCTTGACATTTGAGATCAATAAGATCTCATTAATACCAAAACTACAACACAGAAATCTAATATCACCCAGAAAGCAATGACATGCTTATATAGAGTATCAGAGTCTAGTTATTATAGATGAACCTCTCTTTTAAAGATGCAAAATCAAACCATTAGAAAGGGGTATATATTGTACTGTACTGTACTATACTGCAATGCACTGCACTGCACTGCACTGCACTGCACTGCACTGCACTG